AATACTTCGAATTCGACCCTTTTTCTGGCCGCTTTCGCTTCCTACCAGACGTTCAGACCATCACTACTCCACCCCATCTAAATGCTTCGTTTTTAGCTCTTCCACTTACAATCTTTCATAATCTCGTACTCACCAATCTATCCGAGCTAACACAAGACTATCAATTACATGAGCTTTGGACGACTGTGAATCAAGAACGTCTTCTGCACTTAGACAAATCTCGAACTTCCAATCACGCTCACACTTCCTATCAAGAAGAATCTCCTCATTTTTCTATAACCGCCCTTCTCTTAGGATCTTGGTCCCTCTTTGACGCCTGGATCGCTACTTGCTCCGTTATCGTTTCTCTTAGTATAGTGAAGACTCTTTTAGTGCTATACTGCAATATTGCTTACCCGGGCTGGCTGCCCCGACTTCGTAACATTTTTACAGCCGCAAGCTTTCCCACTAACCCGGTATCACAACCATACCCGCCAACGTTAATTGGAGAAAGCGCGAAAGATCAGCGAAACCATTCTCCGGCGCTCGAACAGGTCGAATTGGCTCAGGTGGCGATTGACTCTACCTCGGTTTGGCCCCCTCGAGCCACCTTAGCACCTGTAAACGTCCTCGTGTTCGATAACATGCAGCGCTTCTTCATAGCGCAAATCCCCATCAAAGTCAATGACGTTAGCGTTCTGGCTCTCGTGGACACGGGTGCTGCGATTACAGTGACTTCGCGCGCTACAGCTCCCTTATTAGGTGTTTTCACCTTCAACAAAAGCGACGTTCCATCTGCAATCGGTATGGCCGGGATTCCCATCAAACTGCTTGGCATGGCGCATCTTCGCTTTCAAATTGGCTCCCTTAATCTCAACCATCCTGTCTATTTCACGGAATCTTCTTGTGTTCCCCAATCAGTCGAATCATACAATATCATCATGGGCAACGACCTATTATCTCGACTTCCCCCATGGAGCATCGACTATAATACCAAAACCTTTTCCTTAGCGGACCAGCAGGTAAGCATTCTGTGCTCCTCGCTATCATCACCCATTGTTGCGGATGATTCAATTCCGGTGCGCGTCGCAGAGACTACGGTGCTCCCACCGGAAGTTGAGACCTTTGTCCCTTGCGAGAGTACAGCACAGTGCGATCAATTAGTACTAACATCCCAAGCTGAGCCGCTTACCACTAAATCGCTTATGGTCAGCCCAGCAGTTATTAATACGGGTAAAGCTCAGGTTCTTGTCGCCAACCCTAACGCCTCGCCGGTAACTCTGTACAAAGGCCAACAAATATCGTTAGCTTCGTCTTTACATGATCACGGCGATTGCTCGCATAACCCACCGTATTCCTAGCATCCCCCCTACTGTAGCAGCAACCCAGGCGGAACGCCACGAAATCTTAAAACCTTCTCCCTCGTTTGAGGTAGACCTTTCCAGAGCGGAGGTTTCCGATTCACAACGTCAACAGCTCCGTGAACTCTTTCGGGAATTCAGCGACCGAATCTCTCACGATTCTTATGACCTCGGATCATACGAAGAATCTGAGATCGTCATCAAGACAACATCTGAGGTACCCCCCACGCGCTTTCGCCCTCCTCGAATACCAGTCAAGTTTCAAAAGGAACTTGACGAACACATAAACAAACTGTTGCGCGCTGGCCGAATAGTCGAAAGCGATACTCCGTGGATTCATAACACCGTATTGGTGAAGAAAAAAGACGGATCCCTTCGGGTATGTCTTGACTTTCGACCACTGAATAACATCACGATCCCCGATCACTATCCTCTTCCGCGAATCGAAGATATTCTAGCTAAAGTAGCTGGTAATAAGTTCTACACCACCTTAGACCTAGCTTCCGGCTACATGCAGCTGTTACTATCCCCGGAAAGCCAAGAGAAATGTGGCTGGGCGACGCATAGAGGGGTATACCAGTTCGTCTACTTGCCATTCGGTTTGAAAAATGCCGGTGCGTACTTCTCCCGCGCCATGGCTCGCATATTGTCGGGATTAGAGAATAACTGCTTAGCATATCTCGATGACATTATCATATTCAACAAAGACTTTCCCAGCCATTTATCCTCCCTTCGTAAAGTCTTTTATCGTTTCCGCCAGTTTAACATCAAGGCCTCCGGTAAGAAGCTCACCGAAATCGCACGTAGTAAGATCACCTTTTTAGGTCACGAGATCTCTGAGCAGTCATACACTCCGGCCGACCGCAACCTCCGCGCTATACAGAACTTCCCGACGCCCACATCGATAAAGGAAGTCAAAGGATTCGTGGGTATGGCTAACTTTTTTCGCAAATTCATAGCGGATTTCTCCACGATCGCCGCTCCCCTATATGCGATGCTCAAAGATAAGGCGAAATTCGTTTGGGGCGTTGACCAGGAGGAAGCTTTCCAACGTTTGAAGACCGCTCTCCTATCCAAACCGTGCTTAGCATTCCCCGAAGACAGAGAATTCTTCCTTCATACGGACGGTAGTCAGATTGCGGTAGGCGCTGCGCTCTTTCAAAAGTCCGTGGCCGATGGTCAGCTGGTGGCAGTAGGATACTACAGTAAGGCTCTTTCTGATTCACAAAAGAAGTGGAGCCCAACTCACATAGAACTCTTTGCCATCATTAGCGCCCTACGCTTCTTCCGCACCACCATTTACGGTAATCATACAACCATATATTCGGATCACCGACCATTAACCTTCCTACTGAACCACAATAAGACCCATGATAACCTAGCTCGGTGGGTTGTTGAATTGCAGAGCTACGACGTCTCCATCGAGTATCACAAAGGCTCTACGAACGTCGTTGCCGACGCCCTGTCCGATCCGTAAATAAGCATGTTCGTTTTCAGGACGGTAGTCCCGAGGCCTCTGATATTGTAGAGTTCCCAGTTAGCATCAATAACTTGCGCCCCACCAGCTATTCCCTCCGACCGCGCACACTCTTTGTTGGCGCCCTCACAGCCATTCGCCCATACGATGCGCTCCTCGAACAGAAAAGTGACAAACTATGCTCACCCATAATGACATTTTTAGAGACGCAATCTTTCCTGTGACTGATGAAGAGAAAGACCTCTTACTCAAAATAGCCGAGCACTGTACAATTAGGAACAATGGTTGCCTTTATTACACCGATAGCTCCCCAAATTCCAGGTTCAGTCACGAGCGCTTAGTCGTACCCGATAAACTCAAAGAGCCGGTCTTTCTTGCCTTCCATTCAAGCCCTTCCGCTGGCGGTCACTTCCATTGGCGAAAGACCCTAGCTAAAATCTCTCGCGCAAATACTATTGGCCTCATATGGCCGAAGACGTTTTCCTGCTAGCCCGCTCTTGTGAAGCTTGCCAGCGTAAACGTACGCATAATATGAACAAAGAGCTGCTTATACCAGTCTCAACCAATGCAGTCTTCGACAAGGTCTACGTCGACCTAACGAGACCATTACGCGCAACTGAGAACGGTAACAAATATATCATAGCCATGATCGATCATTTCACCAAGTATGTGGTAGCCGTCCCCCTACCTGACTGCACAGCGATCTCTGTAGCACACGCAATAATGACCGAATGTGTTCTCAAGTATGGCGCTATGAGTGAACTTATCTCTGACAATGCAGCATATCTGCGCGGCGAGGTAGTATCCGAAATTGGCCGCCTACTAAGAATTCACCGCTATTACACGACACCGTATCACCACGAAGGTAATGGTGCTTGCGAGCGCGTTTTCGCAACCTTCCACCCGATGTTGCGCGCCTACATAAACGAAAATCAGCTAGACTGGGACAAGTACGTCGCTGCGTGTGCCTTTATGTATAATACGACTGTTCACAGTAGCACCAACAACACTCCCTTCTTTCTCATGTTCGGCAGGGACCCTATATTCAATATCGATTTACTAATTAAGCGTGATCTCCAGCGTCGTTGGTCTGCAGATGAAGATGCCGCAATATATGTTGAGACATTGGTCACTACCTTACACGCCGCGTGGCGCTCAGCTGCCTCCGTCAACAAACGCCAAAGCCAACGCTTCAAAACGCAGTACGACAGGTCTCATTTGAACCCTATCAACATCCAGGTAGGTGATAGAGTTTTTCTCAGAGATTTTACCCCTAAAACTGATCTGTCTCAGAAGTTATGTAACCCATGGTTGGGTCAGTTTCGTGTAGTAGCTATTGATCCCCCTCACATCACCATTACTAGCGTTTCTTCACCGCAAGCTAGAACTAGAACAGTGCACATGAACCAAGTTAAGAAGTGTTTCAGCTTGTCAGGTCCAGTATTCACTTCGCCATGGCTACCTGAAGAAGAGCAGCAGCAGTTGCATGATATTCACGCTTCTGACATAGTTATTCCTGGTCGTGACTATAATATCACTCCCGACCTACAAGAATCACCAGCACCATCCACACCACCTACTCACCAATATAACACTCGCTTCAGAACACGTCGCACTTCTCTATGACCGGTCGGTCCGAAGCCTCCCTCAATCCTCTCCTTTTTCAATACTCCACACTATTTCAGTTTCCCTTCAGTTCATCATTTCTGTTGCATCACCATGACTACGTTTTTCCCTCACATTTCTAACGGCAGTTTTCTTCAGTTCTCACCGCTTTACCACCTAATCGTTGTGCACGTGGTTGTGTTCGAGATATCACCGTTTCGTTCCGTACCGTCGTTGTGTCGTCTTTATCGGCACCTTTCACCAACCCATACTGTTTTTTTTTCAGAGCCTGGGTAAACCCGACAATCAGCGATCGATCGAGCGTTCAACTTTCAAAAGCAATCGAAGTACAATGGACGATCCCCCAGATCCAAACCACCAGGATGCAGGGAAGTCCTTTTCTGTTTCTGGCCGGGAACCGGCCGTCGCCTTGAACTTATTGTTATCCAACACTTCTGTTTCTACTAACATTTCCGCTGACTCTGCAGCCGGAGACTTCATCATCGGCGCACCCCGATGCTTCCTCCACCGGGCACGACTCGGTTCCACTCGAAACCGAGGGGTCTATTGACGAGCCAATGGATACCACCACGGATCAGGATGCAACCATCCCGCCACCAGCCTCGTCGCCCACAGCCGAACTCCTCGCTACCCCTCCAGCCACGGCGCACGAGCCCCTCCAGCCACTCGATCTCTCGGAGGAGGCCCTTTTAGCTTCCGATCCGGAATCTCGCCAGTCTCGGGCTCCATCCCCCAAGAGCATGGAGTGCTCGTCACCCAGTCGTCATCAATCCCCAGATATTCGTGTGTCTACTCCGGACTCCTCGTCCTCAACATCATTGGATTATTCGCCACCTCACGCCCCTGCAGGCTTTTCCACCGCTGATGTGAAAGAGGGCGATATGGCAGCCGCACCTTTCCCAAAACGTCACTGTGATCCCATCCCCGTCGGTCAACCCCGCCCCGGTCCATCCCGTGGCAGATCCAAGTCACTCGGTGCTGGAAGATTCCCCAGGAAGCAGTCGCAGCAGCGCCAAACCAGCTCACGTGGTCGCCCCGCGGCCAGAAGCAGAACTCAGTCGCTACGAGCACGCCGTGCTTCACGTTCTGCGAGTCGGGCCACAAGACCAGCTGAATTGCCCCAACGTACTCCAGAGAATTACAGTCACTATCTGACAGGGCTGCATCCATGGGCCAACCTCATAGCCCCTCGCCCAATTCGCGTTCTGCGCGATCAAGATCTCCAGGCCGGAATAGTGCTCGACAATGACGTGTATCGCCAGCTTCCTGCTTCCGGATACTTGTCTCACAGGTTTGCGAAGTCTCTCTTCCCACAGGTGCCTATCCAGGCGGATCGCCCGCCCGAGACATCGCCCTTTATTGAGCTGCAGCACGTAGAGGATGCCATCGCATTTCGCCAACGGACGTCGCGACTCATCACGCAAGTCCTTGCAGGCCAGTACCGTGAAGAGGATACTAGCAACATTCAACGTCAGCCGTTAGGCGAACATCCGACCATCATCGTTCCCCCGATTTGGAACAATATTCGACCCGTTCTCTACCAGGTGGTCTCCACAGCTTGGGGTACCGGCGTCATACTGGAAGCTAAAGACTTCTTCACCATCGGACCAGATCGTCGCGATCTGCACTGCATTATACTGGATAACTTCGCAATCAATCTTGTGTCTGGACACAGAGGATTCGATAAATTCATGGTCTCCGTCAAAGATTTCGTATGGGTGTATGATGTCAAACCGTCGATTCAGGCGATGCAAAACCCGCACGGTGTATTGCGAAAATCCCGCATTCCCCGCACAACGGCTCTCGAGAGTAATTCGGCTTATTTCTTCAGAGTCGACCACTTCGCGTTTGTAACGCCACGACAACGCGACGACAAAATCTTTGGAATCGTACTATCTACCCTAGTACGCCGGGACAGGATACAATCGTTCCAGGCCGCTTTCGAAGACGCCCCGGATCCCGTGGTCGTACCCCCATCGGTCTGTGCGTTCGACATCGCGACAGTACAGCAGGACGAGATGTTGCTTGCCGAATCTCGTTACAACGTCTCAACGGCCATCAGATTCTCGGAACCGCCCGTCTCCGTTCAGGCGCAAAATCAACTCTGTGAGGCCATCCGTCACACTCTCCCGATGCACCCTAGTGAAGGGTTACTTCCCCTCAAGGTCTTCCGCCTCGATCCTCAGGAATATGCATGGCTGGACGATCGCTTGGGAAAGTTTGATTCTTTTCACGAGGACCCTCAAACAGCCAAACGTAAGATGTCCAAACTGTTTAATGTCGCCTGCTCTGCATTGGCGGCACTCGACTCCCTTGTGGACGACAAAGTCTCGCACTGGGTCACCGCCACCATTCCCAATCTGACCGCCTACCCTATCAGATTGGACTTCCGGCTGGAAAATATGGCCAGCGAGGCAGGATGGATGTCTAATCGATCCATCTCACTGTGGGTCGTAGGCGCTTCGTCTATTTCCCGAGCTCAAATTCGGTCGGTTGAGACCCGAGCCCATGAAAAACTCCTGATAATAACCGCTCAGGCCTTTCCTTGGTCACACGAACCCATCGCTCGCAGCATCACCACTTACGGCAGACATTTTGAAGAACGGACCTTCGTCGATATCTGTGTCCGGCTTGGCAAACAGCAACTCACAACTTCTAGCCCTTACTACGAGATCATCTCCCGCATGAACCTTGTTAACGCTTTGGTTCCGTCGAGCATCGGCGACGCGGTGATCGACACCACCTATGGGCGAGCATCAATCACCTGCGCTAACGTGAACGACCCTGTACTTTTCAGCCCACAGGACGGAGAGGTGCAATGTCTCCTCAACGGCAGAGAAGTTACTCTCACGCCCGACCAACGAGCAGCCGTCGCCTTAGGCCTCAGTCGCTATCCTATTGTAGCCATCCAGGCGGCCTTCGGCACAGGGAAGACTGTGGTAGGAGCACTAATAGCAGCACTGTTGACACGAGCCTCGTGTCCAGTTATCGTCACAGCGACGACGAACGCTGCAGTAGCGCAATTCGCCGAAACCCTCCTCGCACTTAACAACCCAGAGCTCGTCCCCGTTCGCTATCTTTCCGACTCGGCGGCCTCGGATAACACTAACCCAACACCGGTCGACCTTAACACGCTACTGGCAAACTTGGAAGCCGAACACGGCGGTCAAATGACGGAAGAAGAGATCACCCTCTGCCGCGACTACCGGGATGGTCGTCGGGTAATCGAGCGATATCTCCAAGACCCTGATCAGGTCCTACAGATGACGGAAGAGGACAAGGAGGAGTACCTATTGTCGGAGAGGTTTGTTTCGCGTAATCTACAGAAGATGGTCAACCTGCTTTTCCGACTCCGATCGCCGAACATCTTACTCGCTACTACGGCTTCGTTGCTCAATACAACATCACCGGGAGGCATTTTCACCAGGCACATCCACCCCTTCAAAGTCCTCATAGGCGATGAGGCATCCCAAATTCCGGAACCAGTTTTGGTAGCGCTCGCCATCAGACTACCATCTGTTCGTCATATCTACATTGGGGACGTGTATCAACTTGAGCCACACGCCAAGTGCTCCCGAACAGCAAATCCGGCTATCTACGGTGCACGGAGTATAATGGACGTCCTCAATAAGGCTCGCGCTGTTCCCGTAGCACCCCTCCACACCACTTTCAGAGTCCATCCAGACCTCATCCAGCTCTCGAACCGGGTCGCTTACGAGGGCCGATTGATCAGTGGAATCCGTCGTCAAGATCGTCAGATGCTGCTATCCGTCATGCATTTCCCGCATCCACAAATCCCATTCCTATTTCTCGACTTGCCTTCCAGTTCCATCCGAGCACCGAGTAAGTCTCTCTATAACGAAACCGAGGCCCGCATGTGTTGGGAAATGATCGATCGCCTCCGTGGCCGCGGCATCGACGCTTCATCAATCTGTGTCATCACGTTTTACCGCGAGCAGTACCGCCGTCTACGGGACACAGCTGAAGAGGTTGGAGTCGAGCTCTCCACGGTCGATTCAGTGCAAGGCCGTGAGAAGGAAGTCGTCGTACTACTCACAACAAGGACAGATGTCGACCCGGATTCCGCCGAATTTTTCGATGACTACCGACGCATGAATGTCGCACTGTCACGTTGTCGCCAGGGTCAGTTCATTATAGGTAACGCCGCCATGCTACGAAGGGTGCCGTACTGGAACAAAGTCCTCACGTGGTCAGCCTCGATCAATGCCGTTGTTACTCCTGTCCAACTCGATCAATATCTTTAATCTCTTTTGACGCGCAAGGTGAGTACTTCTCTTCCCCTCCTTGATTTTTTTCGTAAGTCCGGGACGGACTTGAAGAAAATGGGGGAGGTGTAAGAGCAGCGCTACGCGCTGGTATTTTATCTTAACATCTAAGCCTACAGTACGCCAGCGCTGACTCATCTATTTCAGGGCGTGGCCGCGCAAGCATCTTCAAGCTAGAGAGGTTCCGATCCCAGCTCCCGAGCGGTGGCGCTCTCCTCATCCCCGGGCGGACGTTTGCCCCGTCGTCATAGCCGTCGTCACCAACCGAGGATTTATGATACTCATGTCCATATTCCTATACTGCAGCCTGTGTCAACTACAATAAACTGCTTAGTATTCTGGTGTTACGACAGCTGTATTATTCTAAGCCGTTCCCACTGGGCTAACGCTCACTGTTTGACTGATTTTCAGTTGACAGCAGTGGCTTGACCCTATACGGTAGTGAACCTACTTGTCGCTGTGTAAACAGAACGGGCTTTCTTCTGTTCTGTTGTGATCGAAAAGTTATGCTGCAATCTTTAGTGGTTTAGTTTGTGCGCATAATGGTGTCTGCAAACATTTTTTCCTAGTTATTCTTTTTTTGACTTACTGAAGTACGCCAGATGGGCTCCAGCTGCCATCTGATATTGCATGTACGGGTTAGAAGTGGTGGATTTGGATGCATAGCACATATTCGCCGGGTTGCTGAAAGATGACTGTAGATAGTCACCTGGTGCGGCGATATGAGCATGACAATTTGTCTCATAGTTATGAACTGCTTCCGCATCCTCGGTAGGGACTGGTACGTTGAAAGCAGCGGACGATGTGCAGGTCGGCAGCGATGAACTCATGAGTACTGGCAATTCCATCCGGAAACTATATCCCAAGGAGAAGCAATGCCGTGCCGTCTGTTATCCATTAGAAGCGTTGAAGGCGCTCGATTACCATTTGAAAACTTTGTCGGAAGAGACGCTTTGCGGTCGGATTGGGTTGCAGCCGTCCCCGCATTCACACTGTTCATTCGTGGAAAATTGCCTAATAGCTACCGCTTGCTCTCACTTTCTCAGTGAAGATAAACGTGGAGGTTAGAAAAAAGAAAGGGCATTAGAAAAAAGGCCATATGCAGGGACTTGTAGCAAAGTCGTTAACATAAGAATCTTCTGCACCTGCTCAAAGATCCATTTATGTCAAACCGAACATGTTCGTATCAACTTTCTTATCTTGCAGTGCTCACGTGCACCGAATACAGCAACAGTCACTTTTATTTACATAATATCGTGAACAAAATAGTACCCATGTGCAAGTGGGCAATACTCTCATTGATTGTTTGAATCTAATGGTTGCTCTGATATCTGCCATAAGGCAAATCGAGATGCCACCCTCTGAGGGAATTGTGCACTCTACACCAACATTTGAATAAACTTGAACTCGTCAAATATTACCGCCTATGCCTATAGTATATCAGTCCAGTTCTCCATGATAAAATGAAAGAAAAAATATGGAAACAAAAACTGATAGGGGTGCTGTGTCAAGACGCATTTTTCCTTCAAATGCTTAGCTCTTTCGAAATTTTTGTTAGAAGAAATGACGTGTGTGTTTGAGTATTCTTGTCGTGCTTATTGTAGGTAAGGCAAATGCACTTGCAGTAGACTTGTCACACCAGGCTTGATAAGCCAGTGTATCTTATCGTCTCGTAAATGACATCAGGTCGTGCACCACAGTTCTCTTCCTGAGAAGGAGCACCATGCTGACTATAGCAAGCCCTTCTGAGTCAGTGCATCAGGCACTTCTTGACATCTTCTATACAGTGCTGGCCCTTATCTGCTTCTCAACGAATTGATCTGAAATTTGGTACAGCAGCGTGTTTAACAGGCTACCATCAGTGCCCAGAATGGATCCCGATTTCGTTTGATTGTTCAAAAAAATCAAAAATTTTGAAAAAAGCACGCTTGAAGGTGGCCAAAACTATAGATCCACCTAGAGTTTTTGCCCACTAAAGTGATTCTCGGCTCCCAAAGTCTTTTGTGCATATACATAGTCATGAGTCAAAACAGTCGTTTTAGTCTAGCTGTGTGATATCTTTATAAGAAACGCTTATTTGCTTCTTTTTTTGATTCAAGATACTTTCAAGCGTATTTTATTCTCAAGAACGTCTTTTTATAAATGATTCCGCGATGTTTTTTAACTGGTTTGGAAGCGATAGGGCTCCATCTATCATATAGATGCTAAGAGAAGTGAGAACTAGGAAAAAATCTGAGTTTTCATATTCAAAGCGCACCCGACATAGACCTAACAGCATGCCTGCGCTCAAATTTATGCCCTTCAAACTCTTTCTGCAATGTTCCCATGAACGTGAAGTGGAGTAACGACATTGTCTGTATGTATGGGAGTCCGTATCCAGTTGCTTGCAGATTTCTGTAGACTCTAGCATGCATGCTAATTGAGGAGTTCATTCTGCAAAAACTGATTTGCAACAAGCCTCAAAGTCATTTTTCGGTTTTGACCACAGAACTCATGTGAGTCACAAGGCACATACAATACAGTGTTCACTATTTAGCAGCTAAATAGTGGCAGAAAATCAGGAAAGGTACAGTCGAGTAGATTTCCTGCTTAATATAGTGTCCCTGCAGACGCGACAACGCTGAGGCGTCAATAAACGCCTTGCGAGTCCCCGAACTAGTGTTTTCCAGTGTTTTCTTTGCCTATTCTATGCTTTTTAGGTGATTCGTCGCTGATAAAGAGAAAAAGGGTAAGTTTAAGAGTAGTTTCTGTTTTCTGAGAAGTTCTGTCATCGCATATTCACAGATATTCACGTGGAAGCATTTCGCGTCAGCTTCTTGTCTATTTTTTTCTGTCATTTCCTTTTCTTCTGTCATTTCTTCTTTCCGACTTCCTCCTTCTTGTGAGGCGTTTCTTTGAACGCTAGTTGGCTTGTCTTGCAGCAGCTTCGGCTTTCATCCACAAGAAATAGCATTTTAATCAAGTACTTCATGTGATAAAGACGATAAGTCAATCGTAAAAACCCACTAGCGTTCAAAGAGGTACCTCACAAGAAGAAAGAGACATGAAGTGACCAAAAAATAGACAAGAAGCTGACGCGAAATGCTTCCACGTGAATATCTGTGAATATGCGATGACAGAACTTCTCAGAAAACCAGAAACTACTCTTTAACTTACCCTTTTTCTCTTTATCAGCAACGACTCAACTAAAAAGCATGAAATAAGCAAAGAAAACAATGGAAAACACTAATTCGGGAACTCGCAAGGCATTTATTGACGCCTCAGCATTGTCGCGTCTGCAGGGACACTATATTAAGCAGGAAATCTACTCGACTGTACTACTTGGTAAGTATAAGTATTTTGGTATTACCTAACGTTATAATTGAACCGCGAGACTTATACATTGAAACGAAGCGAAATGCGACTTCGCGAACACTCGTGAGTGTAGTGTACAAACTTTCTTTCTAAGTATGTAATGCTTGTACATTTTAAGCTCAAAAAAATAGCATGAACCAATTTTGAAGGCATAAATTTGAGCGCAGGCATGCTGTTAGGTCCATGTCGGGTGCGCTTTAAATACAAAAACTCAGATTTTTTCCTAGTTCTCACTTCCCTTAGCATCTATATGATAGATGGAGCCCTATCGCTTCCAAATCATGAAAAATACCGCGGAATCATCTATAAAAATACGTTCTTGAGAATAAAATGCGCTTGAAAGTATCTTGAATCAAAAAAAGAAGCAAATAAGCGTTTCTTATAAGGATATCACACAGCTAGACTAAAACGACTGTTTTGACTCATAACTATGTATATGCACAAAAGACTTTGGGAGCCGAGAATCACTTTAGTGGGCAAAAACTCTAGGTGGATCTATAGTTTTGGCCACCTTCAAGCGTGCTTTTTTCAAAATTTTTGATTTTTTCCTGAATCAAACGAAATCGGGATCCATTCTGGGCACTAATGGTAGCCTGTTAAACACGCTGCTGTACCAAATTTCAGATCAATTCGTTGAGAAGCAGATGAGTTACGGCAGTTTTCAGAGTGGATTTATAGTTTTGGCCAGCACTGTAGTTTTCTTTGCTCTGTTCTATTCGCCCAACTATCGTGATCTTCTGCAATATCTGCCTACACGATCGCCAAAGAAATTTGTCTATCTCAATTTATGTCCGTGATCGAAATCTCGATTTGCAGCTTCCTACATTTTGTACTTCCTTAGAGCTTATTTCAAGTACTTATTTTCAAAGGAAAAAGGCACCTCATACTACTGCTTGTATTCCATTTTGTAAAGTCTGTAGGTTCATGGCTGTCCACGGGCTAGCAGAGGAAGAAACAGGATGAGTTAAATCGCTTCTGCAACAGTGCTTTCCGCACACCAACTTTGACAAAGATGTCAGCTGCACATTTGTAATCCAAGCGGACAATAGAAGTTTTTGGTCAAAGATCGTACGTGTGCACCTGGATTGGAAGAATGTAGAAGAAGGACAAGATCACCCCACGTCCATTTTTATGAAGGTCTAGATCTTATGTTTTTCCGCTCATTTTGCACTAATCGCCTTGCTGTTCACCACCTATTGACACTTTTGATTACGGTTGTTTTAGATAAGAAGCATAGATTATGTTCATATGACCAAATAATCGTATAATTGAAAGTAACCAAATGAAAACTCAATTCTGGATCCCGCGGGTTTCCGAAAATGTGAGATTTGGGGAGGCGAACGACTACAGTGACCTTGAAGCTGCCAAAGAAGCTGAATGTCTGCTTATACTCACAAAGGCATGTCCTACACTATGCAGAATAAAAGTAGATGACGTGAAAGTCATGCTTGCAGTACGAAGTGTCATTTTATCGAAACTATGGAAACGATATCATTCCACACTTTCCAATGCCAAAATTTTACGCTGCCGAAGATGTCACAGAACCAGGGACGGGAATAATTGCTTTAGAAGACCTTAGCGACCACGTAAAAACGATGGACCTTTTTCCTGGTCTGTCATTAATCCAGGTACATTGCACAAGTTTCTTACAACCATTTTCACTCTTGCATTTGAGTTGGAAAGAGTTATGGATGCTTTGGCTGGGTTCCATCATCATTTCTACACCAAGGAAGATCAGTCGTGGGTGTCTTCTTTTGACAGAGCTTCCGAAATCGAGAAAGAGTTCCAGGATGTGCAGGCAATGAATTTCTTTGTTTGAAGTACTTGACTACCAAAAAATTTTTCACAAAGAAGTCGAGTGCACATTTTCTCATGTGTGCGTGCACGTACCTTAATTGCAGTTTGGCGCCTCCCAGATGTTTGAGAAGATTCGACCAGATTTGTTCAAATCAAAAGTATCAGCGCTGAAGGAATACTTCAGCCTTGAGGCGGCGACGAGCGCTCATCTATATAAAGCTGAATGTCTGTTTGTCTGTCTGTCTGTCTGTCTGTATGTATGTCTGCGTGTACGTATGTTCCGAATAGAAAATTCCATTTCTGAACCGATCGGGACCGAACTTAGCACACATATACTTCGGGCCCCGGCGGGTGTCACATAGGCTACTCGTCATCGATCGATATCGATTTTATCGATTTTTTTGCAAAATTTGAGCTACGGGGCTGGGAGCACAGGGGGGTAATCGAGCATGCTGATCACCCCCATGTGTGCCAAGTTTGGTCCGGGTCGGTTAAGAAATGGAATTTTCTATTCGGAACATACGGCGGAGCCGGGTAAGCCAGCTAGTTACTCTTATAAAGAACTAGCTGGCTTACCCGGCTCCGCCGTATGTTCCAAATAGAAAATTCCATCTCTTAACCGATCCGGACCAAACTTGACACACATACACTTCGGGCCCTGGCGGGTGTCATAGGCTACTTTTCGCTATCGATCGATGTCGATTTTACCGATTTTTTGCAAATTTTGAGCTAGGGGGCTGGAATTTGGCAGGGGGTGTAATCGAGCATGCTGATCACCCCCGTGTGTGCCAAGTTTGGTCCGGGTCGGTTAAGAAATGGAATTTTCTATTCGGAACATACGGCGGAGCCGGGTAAGCCAGCTAGTTACTCTTATAAAGAACTAGCTGGCTTACCCGGCTCCGCCGTATGTTCCAAATAGAAAATTCCATCTCTTAACCGATCCGGACCAAACTTGACACACATACACTTCGGGCCCTGGCGGGTGTCATAGGCTACTTTTCGCTATCGATCGATGTCGATTTTACCGATTTTTTGCAAATTTTGAGCTAGGGGGCTGGAATTTGGCAGGGGGTGTAATCGAGCATGCTGATCACCCTCGTGTGTGCCAAGTTTGGTCCGGGTCGGTTAAGAAATGGAATTTTCTATTCGGAACATACGGCGGAGCCGGGTAAGCCAGCTAGTTACTCTTATAAAGAACTAGCTGGCTTACCCGGCTCCGCCGTATGTTAAATAGAAAATTCCATCTCTTAACCGATCCGGACCAAACTTGACACACATACACTTCGGGCCCTGGCGGGTGTCATAGGCTACTTTTCGCTATCGATCGATGTCGATTTTACCGATTTTTTGCAAATTTTGAGCTAGGGGGCTGGAATTTGGCAGGGGGTGTAATCGAGCATGCTGATCACCCCCACGGGTGTAATCGAGCATGCTGATCACCCCACGGGGGTGATCAGCATGCTCGATTACACCCCCTGCCAAATTCCAGCCCCCTAGCTCAAAATTTGCAAAAAATCGGTAAAATCGATATCGATCGATGACGAAAAGTAGCCTATGACACCCGCCGGGGCCCAAAGTGTATGTGTGCCAAGTTTGGTCCCGATCGGTTCAGAAATGGAATTTTCTATTCGGAACATACGTACAGACAGACATACAGACAGACAGACAGACAGACAAACATACATTCAGCTTTACATATAAGATTAGGTTTGTTTCAAATGTATCTCATTGACTCTGCCTTCACCGAAATTGATATCAGGAGTCCCTCCAGCTCCAGTCCACTTCGACTTGAATCCCACAAACTTATTATGGGACACGGAAATGAGGAAGGTGAGCAAATCTCTCTATCCAGACACTATGATCGTCCATGCAGTTTTCCCACGCAAGTTGAATAGTCCGGAAGAATCATGAAAAGTTTGCGCCGCAGAGGTTTTTTGGTGCAGTGTGGCTGTAGAGTGAGGCAACTAGGATGCACTGGTTCAATTTTGTTTACTGAAAACTGAATAAAAATTGTTGGTTCTCAATGGAGAACAGTTCATACCAACTTTGAGCTTTCGTGATCTCTTTCCAGCTCGTTGCAATAATTGACTATCAACTCCTACACACCGGTAATTTCGCTGAAGACATCGCGCGAACGTTGATGCTCACGATGTCGCGACAGCAACGATGGAACCATACGAATGCGTAAGTTATACGGAACGGATTAAATTCACTTTTCATTATCTCTTGGACACTGCTCCGGGGAAAGTACTTCATCAACATCGTTTTCTGAAATGATTGGAAATTTCTTGTTTAGACTCCTCAAGCGTTACCATGACACATTAACATCACTGTCCAACGGCAATCCGCCTTACCCCATTTCCAAGGTAAAAAAACATTATGTTGCTCTTTGCGGCTACGTTAAAGTCAACGTTTTGAGGGTGTACGAGGCATACGAACGGATCTTCCCCTACTCCATGAACTTCGGGTTGTTTGCTATGGCCACCTATTTTGACATGTACAATAGGCTAGAACAGGATGAAGTGAAAAGACGAGAGATCCAGAATGAGATAACTGACAGACCCTATGGGGCAATAACTGATGCTGAGCGATATATTCGTCTACGGCAGAATTCACGAAGTCCTCGAAGGGTCTAAGAAAATTCTACCGACAAATTAAAATCTTGCCATGCACTTCAACGCTCAAAGTCTTTTTGTTCCGCACTTCCGCTATAGCCCTCTTCTCATGCATTGATTTTTAAGGTGCTTCACTTAATCTGATCAACAAGCCATTTTACATTGTTAATCTCTGTAAGACTTGCGATTACCTCTTCAACACGTGTTATTCAATGAAAAATGTGCAGCATGGAATAGCTTGAAAAGCTTTTATTTTGATAATTATATTTTTTATTACGAATTGTGCTCATTGTCAAATTCATGTATCCTATCTGTCTTTATGCTGGAATGGGTACATTTTTTGACAATTCGTGATAAAGACTCAATCAAGTTCTGGCATTCTCAACGCAAATTGTAAAAAAAACCATTGCGTTCATTACTAATACGGGCAATGGAGCTGCTTGCATAAGTTCGAACAACACGAATAGGTAACTTGTTTTCCTTGTAGAAATTCGGAATCTTTGTAATGATATTATATCAGCTGAGTATTGCCATTCAGTGGCTGCAGTTAGCCCTTCGTCGACTCATCTTTCACAAAGCAACATACTTCTAGAAACTTCATTATATGCGAATTTCATGAGATTTTGGAGCAATAACTTGATAAGAATGAGAGATATACGGTAACTAATCATCATGAAATATACAGAACAAGTGTATCTAATTGTATAAAGAAAAATCCGCAATGATTTTGAGAAACCATCAATGACTGATAAGCTAGGTAGAAACAAAATTTTGAAGTTAGGGATACAGTTTTGATTATGGTATAGAATCCGAGACCAACGTTTTAGCGGACATTGACGGAGTTCGGTCATTACCCGATGATTGTTATTGCGGTGAAGTGGAAGCTAATGAAAAGAATAACAAACGTTGATACTATGCACTACTAGCAAAAAAAGTTCTATAGACTTGATTCAAATCTATAGCTGCGCTATCCTGACTGCGCCCTAATAAAATACGGAGGTAAGAACCTATCAGTATCAACTTATGTAAAATCTTAGAAGCCCGTATCAAACGGCGCAGTGACGTGTACATGTTGTGACGAGACATTCAAGACAATCTAGTATGTAGGAGTGACTAGCAATAAAGCACTTGAATCTGTTATTGTTGACAGGCTAAAGCTAGATTTGATTCGAGTCCGTACAGCCCTGCGAGTGTCAAAATATGTGCAGAGAATGTGGAAGTTCTATACTATTTTCTACATGGATAAACCCACACACAGAGGGTAGATATCGATCGTCATCGGCTCGCTGCATCAGCAGGGCTTCGTGAGCAGTTTGTCTTTGACGAGTATTATCCTCGCGTCGTTTTTGCCTCCTCCGGTTTCCGACCACCAGAATTATCGCCGTCAGTAAAATTCCCCCAATAAGGAGACCTATGATGATGTACGTGACGATTGACGATGGAATGGTCAGACCAAGGAATGAGAACGAATTCTGGAAACCATGCAGACTGTGATAGTAGAAGTTGAGATTCCGAGGAAAATTTCTAGTGATGCTACGATCTAAACAACTCACCTTATGCCTCCGCTCCTTGTCCATACCAGAATTTCGCAGCGCCTGCGACGACTCGGTATAGGTAGGACTATTTCGAGTATAGAGCGATTTGCATATATGATACGGATAATCCGCAGGATTGTGATGGCAAACGCAACTTGTATTTGATGAGCTAAAACATTACACTGACAAAGAAAAGGCAAATAGGCAGAATTCGGCAATTACCTGAACTCCGGCTCGCCGTTTTTGCATGTTAGATGATCGCAGAATTGGCTGATAGAAGCAACACACCTGAGAAATTTGGTTTCAAAATACCTCAGAAGCATAGTGGAGATTGCTAGCTAATACAATACCACCCGTAATTTGTGAAAAAAAAATGGCGGCGGCACTTAACTTACGCGGCGCCGCCGCAGTTAGGTGACTTTTGCCGCGTCGCGCGACAAAAGTCGGCGGAAAAGCGGCAAAAGTCACCTAACTTTGTCGCGCAACGCCTAACTTTTAATAAAAAAAGACCTTATCTTGATTCAAAATTTATGAATTCTATATATAAGAGTACCATTCAACTCAGCTCGGCGAGGCGCATCTTCCAGTATACGGATGTGCCTAGTTGTGGGATATAAGTTTCCTTCCTGGAATTTTAGTGTAAATGGACCATTCAGTGTGCTGATTCCAGAGGCTACATACACATTCTGTTGAGCACTGCAGAAATAGGGCAGGTATAGTTTAAGAGCTCATTCTGCATGGATATGTGTGAAACTGGGCTTTTCTCGGCGAAGTATGGCGGGTCCCAAAATGCAGGAAGACGAAGGGAAATGGTTGGAAATCGCATGAGAAGCACATATCGCGGAATGCCGCGCGTGCTGTGCAATGTACAATACCACACACAGAACGGGAATTTCGCGAAATTCCAGAAATTTCGCGATTCCGGAATATCGAGAATTATGCAGCGCCATAACTTCCTTCGGAATGAATATATTCTAAATTTGAAAGCAGCATTGTGTTCATCTCGTCAAGGCGAATCTTTCGACATACGCCATGTCATCTATATTTTGTTTCCAGTTTTCTCAAATTGTTCTGAGGAGGTCCCTTTGCAAGTATGTAATGCAGCGCCTATCCAACATGAAAGCTTCCAGTAAGCACCAATCGATAGTGCTTTTTTTGTACATTATAGAGCGCTAGGAAGCTGCCGCAGACTTCTTTTCAAAAGAGAAAAAAGCGTTGGTAAATTCTGGAAAATCACTCGTTTCCAGATTCTACTCGCCGTAACTTTCTTTGGAGTGGATATTTTCTGAATCCGAAAAATGCATTGTGCTCAGCTCATCAAGGCAAATCTTTCGGTATGCAGAATGTCCTTGATATATCGATTTCAGTATTCTCAAAACTTTCTGCAGGCGTCTCTTCGCAAAGGTGTGAAGCAGCGCGTATTGCCCCCAGTACATTCAGAAAGAAATTTTCGATAGTACTTCTTCTGTAGATTATGGAGCGCTAGAAAGTAGCCGCACACTTCTTTCCAAAGGAGTTAGAAGGGCTGGTGAATTCTGGAAAAATCATGTCTTTCTAAATTTTTCTCAACGTAACTCTAAAATATGAAGCTCTCTTGCTAAGCAGATGTGATTTTCGTAATCATCAGGTCGGATAACCCTTATGTGCAAGTTTTCCAAGATGTTCGAGTAATTTCATTTTTTCTCGTTTTACGCTCTGAAGCTGGCCGATGGGTTTTGGTCAAAATGTTCGTGCTCTTGAATTGCAAGGAAACTTCGCTTATAGAGGTTTTCGAACACGTTTTTTACGAAAATCGTGGTCTTTGAGGGTTACAGTGTCTTTTTGGTGAGATACGGTGAGGTGATTGTAATTGTATCACGAAAGTGCGTAACTTTGCCCGCCCTTCTCGCGTATCTGTCAGCAACCTTGCCTGCTTGCTCTTCTCAGTCAAAGTTACTAGGAACAGTGCTATCGAACGATGCATGACTCAGGCTCCAGTCTGTAAAAATCACCGAGTTACGAGCCTATGAAAACACGTCCTCATGAATTTTGCCCAAAATCTAAAGATCGCAAATCTCGTCGAAATTCCACCGTGAGCGCTTGTACAACACGTCGATCAAAATCTTTCACGTCCTTAATGGATCTTATTGTGTTAGATTTCGTAGTTTGAGTTCTAGCCACTGAAATAGCTTTGGTATTCAACTGAGCAGCTGAAGCATATGCAAGTACCATATTCAATACAGTAGGAGTTTTTGGGCGAAGCGAACACAATATCCGCAATGCGAGTGTCATACAAGCACTCACGGTGTATTTTCGACGAGATTTGCGATCTTTAGATTTTGGGCAAAATTCATGAGGACGTGTTTTCATAGGCTCGTAACTCGGTGATTTCTATAGACTGGAGCCTGAGTCATGCATCGTTCGATAGCACTGTTCCTAGTAACTTTGACTGAGAAAAGCAAGCAGGCAAGGTTGCTGACAGATACGCGAGAAGGGCGGGCAAAGTTACGCACTTTCGTGATGCAATTACAATCACCTCACCGTATCTCACCAAAAAGACACTGTAACCCTCAAAGACCACGATTTTCGTAAAAAGCGTGTTCGAAAACCTCTATAAGCGAAGTTTCCTTGCAATTTAAGAGCATGAACATTTTGACCAAAACCCAAGTACTCTGCGTTGATACCACTGCTT